GATGTCATTATGCACAAGTCCTTATTCCCAATTCTTCATGAAATGTGTATTTTCTATTCTCCTTTTTCTGGTTAACACGGTTATTTTTATACCAGTTCGTGGTTTCCTTAGCAGTGAACACAATATATTATCGTAATGCATGACAGAAATTAAGATGAACTTTCACCCATGACTAGCAAAGTATTTAAGCATGTGTCGGTGAAACATTTTGGTTAGCAAAAGCTGACACTACACAACTTCCATTGTTCAGCCTCAAACAGCCATTTATCACTGGCACATAATGCTTCAGAGTTTATATACAGAGCATTAAATTAAGTGTAATAAAACCTAGGCCCTGTTCCACATTGATTTCATTATCTTAGCTGCTAATGAAGTGATTCTCAAACTACTGCTTGCTGCCAAAGACATTCAGAAGACACGGACATCATCCACGCTCACCCCTTGTCATCTGTTGCTTCTTTATGATGAATATACACAGCTGGAAATATCCCCTGTAAAGAAACAATAAACATCAGTCATTAAATAGGTATTAGGGAAGGAAATACAGACATGTTCAAAGTAACCAGTGGGGTGTCTTCTCGTTTACTTTTTTTTTTAAATAATTTTTTTATCTTATTGTTTATTTTTTATTTTCTTATTTTTTAATAATTTGTTTCTTATTATGTTTTACTTTTTAATCACTTTTTTTTATTATTTCTTATTACTTGTTTTACATTTTTCTTTATTGAATTATTTTTTATCAATTTTTTTTTCGCCTAACTTTATTGCTATCACAAGGCCCTGTGCGATAGCAATTGGAGGTGACAGGTTCTCTTTATTGAGCCTGTCACCTCCAATACGGGAGTTCTAGCACAACACTGTGCTGGAACTCCTGCCACTGGTGAGAGGGGAAGACTGCTTTCCCCTCTCACTGTGTACACTGGCCGCTCTGCTCCCTGCATCGGCGGCCAGTAAGAGGAGAGAGACTCGGCGGCGGAACCCGGAGGATGGAGCCAGCGAGGAGAGGAGGTAGGTGCTGGAGGACGGACCGGCTGCAGACTTTTTACAAGTGATCTCGGCGACATCGCTGAGATCATTTGCAAACGTACAATTGTCTTCTCTCACACTACATTTAGTCCTGCTTGTGCAAAACAGGACTAAATGTAGAAAGCGCAACTTATTGACCGGCGCCCGCAACTTCCCCACAGGGACACCGCTGCCCCCCTCTGTGCCCTGCCTCGGGGGGAGTCCGGCCCTGCTTGCACACATGCAAAATAAATCTGCTGGGTACAAAGACATTGGGGGGGATTTATCAAAACTGGAGCAGACAAAATCTGGATCAGTTGATTATAATGACCAACCAGCTTCTATATTCAGGTTGTTCAGTTAAACTTAAAAAATTTAACATAGAGGCCGATTGGCTGCCATGGGGAACTGCTCCAGTTTGTATCTGCTCCAGTTTTGTTAAATTCAAAGCCTATCCCACCTCAACCTAACCACTGAACCATCACATTCTCAAATAATTCATCCACTCACAGCTACCTCCTCATGTATCATTTCCCCCTCCTCTTTAGATTGTAAGCCCTCAGGGGCAGGGCCCTCCTTACCATCTTGTCTTGAATTGTATTGTAATTGTAATGTCTTCCTCACATTGTAAAGCGCTGCACAAACTATTGGCGCAATATAAATACTATGTAATAATAATAATAATTCCCCCCATTATGTTTGCTTAGCATAAGTAGTAACAGGTTCTGCAGCAACACCATTATTAAACAGGTAGCACAGAAACATTAATCCAGTAGGCAACCTCAGCGTTCCAGCTGTGTTGGAACTACAAATCCTATTATGCCTATGGCTGTCAGAGTCTTACAATGAGTCATGGGACTTATAGTTGCCTATCCCTGCCTTAATCGAAGCACCATGGATTTCAATTGTCCAAGAACAAGATTAGGTGTGGAAGTTGTGGAACTGCCCTGTCCTAGGTACATAATCCCATCCTTGACGTCAAGAAGGCTTCATAGGTGTTAATCCTTTAATTTGCATGGCTGTAGGTGTGAATTGTTGTCAAAATGCAATGGAAGAGATATTAAAATAGCATTATATGTGGAAGAGAGATGGTTAAGGAAAAGGGATGTCATTTCATGGACAGAGAGGTGCACATTTTGGGCAGGGAGAAACAAGTGATTTGCAAGAGGCGTGAAAGAGACCATCTACATTAAACTGGAAACAATCATCCTCGAACAGAGCTGGGAGCCTTCGACACCATCAATTTTCCACATATAATGCAGTTTTAAGGTCTTCAACCTGAAAATTTGGCAATAATTCACACCTTTAGGTATGCAAATTGAAAAATGAATACCTATGAAGTAGGGCTGTGCAAATTAACGATTCATTTCTCGATTAATCGTTAATCTTTTTGATCGATTACATTTTTTTTTAAACTTTCTGCACGAGCGCCAGCCAAGGCATTGGCCTATACACATACAGCACAGCAATGAAGTAATAAAATGAACTAGGATCACACTAATCTAGCACGTTATTATTCTGAGTTGCCCCACTCAAGCGGCGGCCATATTGAGTGGGGCACGTGAGATTAATAACGTGCTGGATTAGTGTGATCCTAGTTCATTTTATTACTTCATTGCTGTGCTGTATGTGTATAGGCCAATGTAGTTGGATCTGTATGTGCGTTATAATTAATCGAAATTAATCGATTAAAAAGAATTTCGATTAATCGAACACGAAAATTTTAATCAGTAACAGCCCTACTATGAAGCCTACCTGACATCAAGGATGGAATTGCGTATCTAGAACAGGAGGGTTCCACAACTTTCACACATCCCATCTTGTTCTTGGACGCTCAACATCTCCGGATTCCATGGTGACTGGAGTGAGGTGTCCGTGCCCCCTTTGTGGATATAAATGTCGGGGTCTATTCCTGATACTTATTAGAACTAAGTAAGTTGTTGGATAAACTATGAGACATCTTTAACATTACAGAACAAGCAGGGTCGGATTTCCTAAAAGGCCAACCGAGGCCCTGTCTCGGGGTGGCAGGGATTCCTATCGCCCGACGTCCGGGACATGAAGTTTTGGGCGCCGGGTGGGTAGTTGTTTTGTACATTTAGCCCTGCTTTGGGCAAGTAGAGCTAAATGTGCAGCGCAGCATGCTTGTCTGTCCGTCCCCAAACCCCCTCCCCACCCCCCTTCCCTGCCAGCCAGAGATCCTCTCTTCAGGATAGAGAGCGGGGAGCAGACTGGAGAACATCCATTCTCCGCACTGCTCTGTGTAAACAGTGAGAGTGGAGAGCTGCACTTGCAGCCTCCCACTCTCAGCTGTCACAGGAGTTCAAGCACAGTGTTGTGCTAGAACTCCTGTATTGGAAGTGACAGCTTTTTATAAAAGATAACCTGTCACCTCCAAATGATATTACACAGGGGCTTGTTAGTTCCTGTGTGATAGCAATAAAGTTAAGTGAAAAAATGTTTTAAATAAAATTAAAGAAAAAAAACTAATAAAAGAAAAGTTCATAAAAAGTAAAAAATAAAGTAGAAAATAAGATTAAAACAATTATAAAAACAACTAAAAAAAAGGAAAATATAAGATAAATACAAATTAAAAAAAAATAAAAACGAAATTATAAAAAAAGTTAAAAAAAGAAGAAGAGGAACATGGCTTTGGAGCAGCAGAGAGAGTAAATCCGGCCCTGAGAACAAGTCCAGTTGAATGTGCCCGACTACTAATAGCTATACTATGGACTTGATAGACAACCTTCACAGTCACCATTCTTAAAGTGAACACCAGAGGGCACTCGAGATTTTCGACCAGATTGAAAGTTGGCCTGAATGATGATAATTGAGCAAAGAGATCTTTCTCCAAAGAATAAAATGAAACTTTGCTGATTTGTACACAAATGTGATTAATTTCTAATGCACATGTGATGAATCGATGCCAATAAGCAAAGTGTGCGGTCACATCCTACCTATAGCTGATCTCCAGGGCAACAGCTAAGCATGCACTTTAAGAACAACTAAACTTTTAGTTTACATCAGCTAAGCATGCTGCAGAGGAGGACAGTTGCTATTGTTTGGAAGCAGTGGTCTCTCTGCAGAGGTCCAACACATCCTCTGCCGAGTCAGATCCAGAGCTCTCCAACAAGGAAGGAGCATGAGCTTTGCTTATTATTGCTCATACACAGACACTCACTATATAATTATAGAGACATACATATAATGTGTTATGTCCACTTTGTTTCCTTTTTTTTTTAAATTGCAGCTGATAAATGGCACTTTTATAAGACAGTTGCCATATGTTGACTACATCTGTCTATTACAGGGGAAGGCAGCCTTGGCACTCCATCTGTTGTGGAACTACGAGTCCTATGAAGCACTGCAAGACTCCCGACAGCCACAGGTATGACCTCCAGAAGGTGAAGCATGATGGGTTTTGCAGTTTCACCACAGCTGGAGTGCCGAGTTTGCCAACCTCTGGGCTCTTTTGTGAAATGTGTCCTACTAGCTCCAATAGTGATTGCATAATCCACACACATTAAAGACCAAATCTACCTAAAACTCATTATTTCAGTTTGGTTAGGTCAATAACAAGTTGAAGCTCCACCCACTTTGTTTTTCACATTAGACATGGTTTCATGTTAGTGGGGGCCCAGTCTTGCCAGACCAATGCCTTAATCTTGCATACTACATTTTTTAGGTGTCTTGACCTGTAACTTCCCACCCAAGTCAACCAAATAGAGACATATATATATCACAATGCATCTGAAAATGCATATATGTGTTTTCAATTGCTTCCATAGAGCTCCTGACACGTGATGAGAGATGGTTTGCTTCTGACGGCTTCCTCCCTCATCCATAGAGCTTCCTACTTGTGGTGTGAGATGGTCTGCTTCTGACGCCTTCATCCCTCATCCATAGAGTTCCTCACACGTGGGGAGAGATGGTTTGCTACTGACGTCTTTCTCTCTCATCCATAAAGCTCCTCACACGTGACGAGAGATGGTTTGCTTCTGACGGCTTCATCCCTCATCCATAGAGCTCCTTACATGTGGTGTGAGAGGGTCTGCTTCCGACGCCTTCATCCCTCATCCATAGAGCTCCTTACATGTGGTGTGAGAGGGTCTGCTTCCGACGCCTTCATCCCTCATCCATAGAGCTCCTTACATGTGGTGTGAGAGGGTCTGCTTCCGACGCCTTCATCCCTCATCCATATAGCTCCTTACATGTGGTGTGAGATGGTCTGCTTCTGACATCTTTCTCCCTCATCCATAGAGCTCCTCATACATGGTGTGAGATGATCTGTCTCTGACGGCTTCCTGCCTCTTCCATAGAGCTCCTCACACGTGGTGTGGGACGGTCTGCCTCATAAAGGAGAATTATGAGGTGAGTGATTTTCACTCAGCCTCATAATCTGAGCCGACCTGTGACAATGAAACTGTCACAGGTCGGCTTAGTAGATCGGAAACTGAGCGAACACATACCGGCGCTCGCTCACTAC